AGTCCTGCAGACAACAGATCTAAGCACAATCCTATGAACTACTTAAATCCAAAAAATCATCCCCATTCTGCACAAAAGCCTGGTAGCAGCAATCTTCACATAGCAGCGCGGTTAACTAAGATTTTGTATGGGAGGAATAACTGTTTTACTGCATATATTATATACAATCCATTTCTTGAGATTCAAGCAGTCCAATCACTGTTCTCTATAAAATGCTTTATTGACTTTCTTCCTGCATTTAATTTGTCTCTATATAGCAGTAACTCCTTATTCTGTGACAACATGCCCTTCCTCTCCTTTGAAATACTTCTTTTCTGCACATGGGCAGTATTAGTTCAGTAAAACTTCCCTTCTCCTTCCAAAGAGGAACTGAAAATACAAAAGATGGGCCCAAAGTAAGCACTTTGATCCAGACTCAGATTACATGGCTGAGGATATTTTTGGAAAAGCTTGAAGCCAACAATCTTGAGTTGAAGTCAACTATATGAACTATGGTCATCTTGAATAATCCAAGTAGTTATAGTGGATAAAGTTGTCATTTGGTTGTAATTCAAATGTGTCCTTACTTGCCAAGTGGCTCTACCCACAGCCATAGCAGTCAGATAATACACACAAAGGTCTGCAGAGCCTGCAGCAACAGAGCTGCACCAAGGATTCAGGGGAGCACCACATCTGCATCTCCACTCTTGACCTTGCTCAGAGCAGGACCCATCCTCCCTCCTCTCAGCCAAGCAGAGCTGCTCTCCCTGCACCTCTGGGGAGCTGGTGTGCAGGAGACTGTCCTGCATGGACCTGACCAGAGGCTGAATGACCTGAGAAAATCTGGAGAAACTGCAGGCTTGGGAAGAACTGTGCCACGTGGAGCATTTAGCCTGAGGAGTAGCTGAGAGGTCTGGGATACCTTTCTCAAAAGGGAAAAGCCTTCTCTGGTGAATGTGAATCTCCAGGCTGAAGCACAGGTGCTTCCTGCATGCACAGCCACCAGAACAAACAGCAATCACTGAGTGCAGAAGAGTCTGTGCCAGAGAAAGTAAAGCAACCACTGGGATGATTAGATTTGCAGAGGAAGGGACAAGCCTAAAGGCAGGTTTCTGGGTAGGAAGTGGTGAGCCTAAAATAGCAAAAGCTGGCCCTAGCATAGCTGACCTTCCGAGAGTAGGTGTTGAAATTGTTCTGTGAACCAATTTCTCAAGGGTTAGTGACAGGAAGTAAAAAAGGGGGAGAAGGACAGAGCCTAGGGCAGGACTCTCTCATGTGACATTAGCTGGCATGTGAGATGCAGGATGTATTGCTGGTACCTACAGTTCTTATCCTCTGAAAGAAAACCATAGCAGGGAAAAAAAACAAAGCTCAGCATAGCTGGCAAGATGGAATGACAGGAACAGGACAAGAGGGGAAATTGCCTATTACAATTAATGATTTCATGAGTGACTGTCCAGTATCTTGCAATCAGCAGCATTTACACAAAAGCTGATGTAGAAGAAATCCTGAAAGTTTTGGGCAGGCTGACTGGCAGTGTGGTCAAACAGGGAGGCTGCCTTCAATCTCAGGATGGATGAGTCTCCAGCAAGCAGAACAGCAGCACTGCAGATAGAGATGAAGGCTGGTGCCAGGGCAGGCTTTTGCTGGAAATCACAACACCACAGGAAGCAGAATAAATGGGGACAGCACTGATCAGAAGAACAGAACAGAGATGGCTCTGGAGATAGGAATTTGGATTTTTCCCACAGTCTTGTTAGACTTGGCACTAAAGAGGTTGTGATGCTCAGCTGCAGAAATGGAAATCTTCCCACAGGATTTTCAGACCAAGTCACTTATTGCTGGTGCGCACCTCAACCTTGTTTATTGAACTTATGCTAGGGGCCACCTCTAATAAATAACAAAGGTATTATACTAGTGGGTGAAGATCTTTAGAGTGAAGCAAAGAAAAATAAAAATAATTTCTCTAATAGAGATAATTTCATCAAATCTTTCTTCTTTATTTTTTATTGCAGGTATGAGCAATTCAGATGTGATGGTTGCTCTTCAGCGTGGGTACCGAATGCCACGCATGGAAACCTGCCCAGCTGAGCTTTATGATATCATGAAAACGTGCTGGAAAGACAAAGCAGAAGAGAGGCCAACCTTTGATTATCTACAAAGTGTGCTTGATGACTTCTACACAGCAACAGAAGGGCAGTATCAACAACAGCCATAGAACAAAGAACACTTTTTCTATTGCCACAGATCATTGGCACAGACTATCTTTAGAACAGACTGCTCAAATCAGTTACTTCATGCATTCAGATGTCTTAACTGAGTGTGGAAGCTGAAATGCTGAAGGAAAGAATAATTCTGCAGAGAAATAATGTTTTTATTTGGTAAAAACAGTTCTTCTAAAGCTTCAAGTTCTCCTTAAAGGCTCTGTGTTTTGCATGTGTAGAAACAACCCAAAGCAGACAGGCTTTTTGGGGTGGGGAGGGAGAAGGAAGGAAAGCAATCATCCCCTGGTACAGCTTGACAAGACCTTCTTAGGATCTAAGTCATGCGATATGTTACAAGGAGACCTTGATTTAAAGGGTCGAGAGGATGCATGAACAGCTGTTTTCAAAATAAAAAGTCACAAAGGAGAACTTACAGATTTAAGACATGGTGATGTTCTTAAATCATCTTTTTTGAAATACAGCATATTGCAAAAATTATTTTTATAACCTTGTTATTTCACATTAGTATTAGGTATTTTGTCACCTCTTGTAAGACTTTCTAAACAGTGTCAAGGTTTCCTTTGATGAAGAGTTATGTATGTGATTCTTTACACTGAAAAAAGTTCTGATTTACTGCTGCAAAACCCTAAATTTAAAATCATTTTCAAAGCATTACAAAACCGTCAGATGCAGAAGTGCAAGACGAACCCACATGACTGCAGATGTGGCAGCACACCTCACTCTGTGTTCAAGCTTCAGCTTCCCACAAGGCCAAAGTCATCGTCTGAAGTCCATGGAAAAGCACAGGATTTTGAAGGAAGTTAATACTTTCAATGCAGTCACTGAGAATATTACCAGTGAAAATATTTTAATCTTCATTTTTAATTCTCTGTGGTTATTCAAGAATATTCCTTATATTTTTGCTGCTTTAATCAACTAACCTCAAATCTGTTTGAAAGCTAAAACTAGCTCTAGCACTATCAAAAACAATTTGTGGAAACATGCAATAAGATATTAAGTTACATTGCAGTGACACTGTCAGTTGTTGCTTATTATTACAAATCTAATTCTTAAAGTGAATGCAAGTTGCTGTGCTCTTTACATTGAATTCTTCTATCAAATTACTTACCCAAACAGATGAGCTAGTGCACTTGCAATGTAACCACAGCACAGCATAGATTACTTCTTTTTCAAAGTGACACTGGTTCTTACAACTGAAACCCAGTACACATCTTTGCCATCCTTCAGCCCGATTATTTAGGCAAATGGTACTTAGCAGAAGCTTAAAACCTTTCTGAGAAAGCTTCAGTGTGCCTGCAGTTGAAGCTCAGCAGCAGAAGTATTCATGGCTTTTCTTTTCCAGTGGCTTCCTTCAGTCAAACTGTGCAGTTTAAACAGAGTATCAGTTAAATATGTAAATAGTTTCTATTGTATGGTGATTTTTAATTTTAATAAACACTTAATCTAAAGCTAGTAGTGTGGTAGTAATTGGATATAAAACAAACAGCTGATGTTCTATTCCATGGTACCTTCATGTGGAACATGATTATCACCACTACCAAGATTAATGGACTCCGCTTTCCTTACACCTTTGAGAAACTGAAAAGGACTAAACCCACCATTTTTGCATCCTTCTTGTGGTATCTTATTATTCTGGAGGCCACAAAGAGAAGAACCAATCCTCAGCTATTCTTGCAAATAGCTTCCCAAAAGCCTTTAACGCAATGGCTACACTGTGCTTTAGCAACTTTTGGGAAAACATTAACAGTTCAGTACTGGCCAGTAGTTCACTACAGGCTTCATTTTAAGACTAAAAAAAGAAAAAAAAAAATCAAGATAATGTAACTTTGCCTTTCAAATCATTTCCTGTAGCTAGCCAAAGAGCTCTGGGAAGTAAGAGGGAACATAGAAAGAACAGTTGCTCAGGGAGTACGAGGTTATAGTTAGTGTTACATAAAGTTGCTAGACAGGCTGCCAAGGTGTAGCACGAGGTAGTTTGAAATGGTATTATGGAAATTTTCCAGTATTTCCCCATTCTGATTATTTTCAACTTCTGTTTTACTGCTTTTCATAAAGCAATTTGTACGTATTAGCTTTCTTATTCAAGAGATCAACATTCAGTGTCTCATAACTACACCAAAATATTTTTTAATAGCTGTAATAGTTTATGTGGGAGTAGACAAATATTTTAGAAATTTTACTTTGCAGGGATTATAGACCTTCAGAACTACTAAAACCAGATAACCCCGTATTTAACAGAAACAGCTCAAAACATGAGAAAAGCAATGGCTTAAGTACAACCTCTACAGGCTTGTTAAATAGATGTCAGAGTGATTACTGATCACAGACCAACCCAAAACTCTCAGCAGCCTGGCAAGAGGAGTCACAGCAGAGCAGGGCTGTCCTGTCACATGGGAAGGCTGCACCACCTACTGTCTCCCCAGGGAGGGAGAGGTTCTTGCTTTGAACTCAGTCCCCTTCCACTGTGAGAAACACCTTCACAGGGACTGATCAATCTAATTTACTTACAGATTCCACAGTAAACCTCCAGCAATTACAGGCATTGTACTTCCACAGTAGTTAAAAATCCCCTCACCTTCGCTGACTGGAAAGGGCTTCAGGAAAACTATAAATTTTATCATGCTCCAGTCTTCCATCCTTAAGCTACTACATAAAAGCTAAGTAATATAGTCAAGGATATGATGTTTTCAACTCAAGATCATCCTATATCACTATCATCATTTGGGCTCTAATTTCATGATCTTTTTTTATCTTGGTTTTGTTGGTTTATAAAATGAAGAGTCAGAGCTGAATTTAGCAATGGAAAAATTTATTAAATACAGGTTTCAAAGTTTAATACCTATTCCTAGTGGAAATTCAAATTTTATTAAAACAAATTTCTTTACAAAGCCAAGTTAGCTGAAAACTAGCAAGGAGCCAGATCAGATGTCATTTCATTGCCTTCTTTAGCAGTTTGCTTAGTTTGGTCCCAAGAAAAACAGGGAGTCTCAAGGTCAAAACCAGAATATTAACTGAAGAACCATGCTATTTTAACTACTTGGGATTAAGTTTACAAGGCATCTGATTTCTAGGAACCACCAACGAAATAAAATAACTTAAAAACATAACAAATAGCAGATGAGGGATATCCCACTTTGCATGAACCACACATTTATAAGTACAGAAGTGTCTATGATAGAAATTACTCCAGAATTAAAATATATATATTTCTCAGATCACATCCCTATATCAACAGTAAAAGCACATGTCTACACCCAAACTTTTATAGCTCTAAATTCAACCTTGATTCAATTTCAAAAGTTCTGTATGAAACATTTTTCTCAGTCAATATGACAGTGAGGATGGCACCTAAGAGTGAGAAAGAGCTACCAACTGTTTAATACTAATAAAGAAGCCTAGTAATTGCACACTTTGATTTACCAAATATTATTCTTTTGCTTTATGAGGCAACAGTCCTTGTTTTCTTGAACAGGGTGAAGCCTCTTCGTACTTCCCCCAGCCTTTACCGAGAGGTGTACTAGCAGTGGATGCTACTGTGGATTTCAGATTAGCCAGCAAACCTCTCCTGGGTTTCTGCTGTTTTGACTCCTCTGCAAAGAAATTCTTTTTCTGTACTTCAAGCTCTTTTTGCAGGGAAGACACTGTTTCTTCAAGCTCAAGAACACGTTTAGCCCAGTTCTGAAGACTATTCATTTCTTGATCCTATGAGGATAAGACTGTGTTAAGTATGTAAACACTGTATGGTCTCTCTCTTTTATGCAGTTAATTTTCTTATTTTTCTTTCACATTATTTTATTAAACCCATAAATACCTTTGTTATTACAATGTCATATGGCAATTCAGTGCCCAATTCCTCTAAATTACAACAAGTAATTAAAAACGGAGCAAACTACAGGGCCATACAATCTAGTTAGAGACCTAGTCTGACTAAGAGGCTGATGCTAAAATGCTTTGCCACACTATGCAAAGAACTGATGTTGTTCAAGGAACTAGATAAAGGCAGCTTTCCTGCCTTGTAATTTCTGAAAGAAAACTGGCCAAATCAAAACTCTTACGGCATAAATCTGCTAACCAGGACTGAAAAAATGCTTTGAGTGGGCAGCATACAGTGTTAAATACACTCTTTAATCTCTGTGGTTAAGAAAATCACCTTCCTATTAACAATGGATAGGAAGGTAACTTCCAATTAAAAAGTTCAAGTAAAATAATTTTCAGACTCAGATTTTAAAAAAAAGTATGCAGAAATTAATCTAATGTTCAAAGAAATATATCACTAAGCAGTTATTATACCTGCAGATTACAAGTGAGGCTTAGATTCAAAGTGCCAAGAGATCAAAAGTTTCATTTTTTTGTTTGGGTACCTAGATGATATCCGAGGTAAGATGCAGTAAATGTTAGGAAGTCCCTGCTTTTGAAGGCAAGATGTCCATTTCTGTATTAAACAGTTTATCTGCCCCTATCTCTCATCCAGTTTGGCCATTTGTGGCAGGACCATCAGTATAGCTTTAAAGCCATAGATCCTTAGGCCTTGGTGCAGTAGCATTTGTGCACACCTTGCTTGCCTCAGCAACATGCCTCATGATGAGTTGCAAGTAGTATTTTCTTTACTTGACCAGAATTCATGACATCTTTAGATTAGCAGCCTTTGTCAGCAGAGCTACTCTACTGACAGAGTCTAACACTTAAGTTGAAAAATTAGTTTTGTCTTACAAGATTCAGAGTCAAGTAGTGAAACACAAGGGCTCTGAGCTCATAATTCAGGAAGTTAGGCACAGAAAAAATGCTAACATCAAAACAAATTGCTAATTTAACAGTGATTTTACATGTAAAAGTATGCAGAAGCCACCAGTACAACTATAGATACAAGCCATAATAAAGTTGTTTTTAAATCATTGACTAACCTTGAGCATGATTGTGTGCTTCAGTTGACTGTTTTCTTCTGCCATTTTTCTGTAGCCTTCATTAGCTTCTAACAGGGTTTCATTTAGTTTCTGTATTTTAAACTTCAGAGATTTTATAAGCTGAAAATAAAGCCCATACACATGAAAGTTCAAAACAGCATGTTTTGCATTAATTTTGTTTATGACTAAAACAATGCAAACTGCAAGATCAAAACAAGAAAGTCTTCTCTCAACCTTCTATGTCCCAGCTCATCATTTCAGGTGATAAAATACAGCTGGAGTATTCAAAGGCTGTTGTGTTGAAGCTACTATGATTTACAGACCTGCCAGTCAATGAGCAGTAGCACAGACTAAGTAACATCTGGAACAGCCTGCTTCATTTCAGTAAGAGTACTTAAAAGAACACTTTTGTCTCATTAACACTACTCACATAAAAACTGGAGCACAGTTACCACAGAAGACCTCACCTTTCTGACGGGAATATTAATGGACTAAGCTTAAGCTCCAAGAGGCAAAAGAAATTCTGAAGCAGAAAAATAGATGTTGCCATTAATTTACTTCTACGAAGTTGCTAAAAAACCTCACACCCTTAGCCCATGTTTACTGGCTGAATGGGAAGAAAAAAGTGAATTACAAGTCACACATTCACTGATCTTTGAGGTAAAGCAGCAAAAGGCATTGATGGAATCAACTGGTTTAGTCCATTCTTACTTCAGTTATTGTCAGGAATCAATCTCATCATTCTAACACTTTCTAGCCACACAAAACAGTCAATAACTGTATCCCCATAACAAGCATAAAAATTTCACAAAATTTTGAAAGTGACATGGGAAAATGACGTAGAGCTCTCAAAAACAGTGGAAAACAAATGCTATAGCCATAGCACAAGACCTTAAACTTGGTAAGGAAAGAGTTATTTTTGGAGTATTCTTTCTTAATAGAAATGGACTTAAGTTCATTTTCTATTTACATGGTTTATTAGAACCAGCTGGAACTATTTCTCCAATCCCTACTCATATTTGATATTAGAAAAACAGCAAAACCTATGTCTTCTCTTCTCCCCATATCCTCTTTAAACATGGGAAATGAACTGTATCTTTACAAAAAGATCACTCAAGGAATAGAATAAAAATGCATACTTAAAATTAATGTTTCCCATAATTCCCACATCTATATGGTATTCAGAGCACAGAAATCTTGTTTGAAGAACAGAGATATTCACCTTTACTTAAGTTTAGGATGATAGTGGAGTTGAGTACTTTCAGAAAGGACTGCTTTAAGGCACTATTTTGATTTAAATCTAAAATCTAAACTATTACCAGGTTCTGTAACTGTCCTCCTGTGCAGAAGCAGGAAGCATCTCAGGAAGGAAAGCTCTGAGGTCATGGCAATATTTACAACAAATTCCAGCACAAAGCTAAACATACTTCCTTACTTCCAACTCACACCACATTCACCACAACTTGTTAGAGTAGCAAATGGTTTTACAGACCAGGATAAGACCCAGAACAGTCTGGCAAAAGTCATCCACAACTGAGCAAGGGCTTTTTTTTTCTAAGCTTAATGCCCATTTACAGGAATCTTCATACTTTTGTCTACAATGCACATCTTTAAGCATTGAACCATGACAGAGTTTACAATCATTAGCCCCAGAAAGATACTAAGCAAGAGCTACCTCTTCCTTCTCTTTACATTGTTTCTGCAATCCTTCATTGGCTCTCTTCAATGTGCTGTCCAGAAGATCTATGGGCAAAAGAAAGGTTTGTTTGTTTATACACATTACCAGACGTAAACTGAGCTTTGAATACCCAGATTACATTCCTACCTTGTTCCATGTTATTTTCAGTAGACGGAATATCCGAGCTCAGACTTCCCAGAGCCAACAGCCTCCCTGACTGTTCATCAAGTTGCCTTTCCAATTGCAGTATTTTCCTCTCTCTATCCTGAAAGAAAATAGGGCATATGGCAGAATTTGTCTGTATTTCTGCTTGACCTGATGCATTACTGCACATCCTTCATTTACACCACACAAACATGCCATTTTAAATTATTTCACAGGTTATGGATAGGTACAGTAAGTGACAAGACTCGGGTCACAAAAATATCTACGAGGAAGGTTCTTGATGAAGGATTCAATTCTTCCAGTCGGAGGATTTCTAAACTGTATTAAAAGTAACCATATGGCAGAAAGGAAATTTTAGTGTGTCTGTACTAAACATTGTTGCAAGTTAGCTTGCTAACTAAGGAAGACCATACTTCATAGTGCTACATTGTAATTTCAAACTCTTTTCAGTATCTGTCAGATTGCCAGGGTGGTATTTCAGAGTGAGAGATCAAACAAGTGGCATCATCAAGAAAATTTATTAATCTAATTCTGGTTCTCTGAAGCTGCCCACTCAGATTCATGCTGTTCTCTCCCTTTGTCAACTAACCCTTCTACCTCTCAGGGATTTCAACAGTTTCTTATCTGACTTGCCACCAAAAGCATCTTGCTATTTGAATCTTCCCTTATGCAGCCTCTTGGCCAGTATAACAGCACTATTAAAACTCTTTTCATCCTCTCTAATATAATTTATAGCTAGGATTTAACTGAACATAGAAACAGAGTCTAAGGGAGGAGAAGAGACAAATTTGAAGGAGATGGAAAAGCACAGGCCATTACATAATATGGTGTTTCTTGCCAGCACCTGAATGGAGAGCTGTAAAAGCAGAAATATTTATATACCACAATCTACAAGAGAAAATCACTTCTCATGCCTTGAAAGGAACCTGCCTATCCATAGAATGTGATGTCTTATCAGTTCCAGAACAGGAGAGCGCAGTGAGAAAGGTCCTATATAGTGGACATCACAGCTGTTCTATTCTTCCACTAAAGACAACAAGACCCACAGGGCTCATCTGCTGCCTGGATGCACTTAACCATCTCTGCAGAGGTTAGAAAACTGAGTTGCTCATAGCTAACCTGGCTGCATTGCAAAAGGAGTAGCAACTTACTAATTCCAACTCTGAGCACTTCTATCTTTAAGTACATTCAGGAGATTCAGTTCTCTCCTGCGTGAAGTTTGCTTTCTCATCAGTTTCTCATCCCACAGTCCTCACCTCCAGACCAGAGATCAATTATAATTAAAATAGTTATCCTGTAACAAATTCCCCACCACCCTTTCAGAGTAGCATTTTACTCTACCTCCTATGATCCCAAAGACCTCTAGAAAGCCAGACTCTTGTATACATCATCCTCCTGGGTGTTACAGTCATTGCACCACAAAGATAAAGATGATTTGGATTTAACTGAACTGTGCCCTCAAAGGTCCTGCAGTTTAGGTGAGCACTACAGGTAGTGCTAGAGAGAAGACATCTGTATCCTTATGATGAGCACTGAACACAGAACAGCAAGGCTGAACTGCTAGTTATTTTCTTTGTTTACAAGTGTCACATTCAAAATCCCAGAGTGATTCTGTTAAAGAAAAGCAAAATTTACAATTAAGATGCTAGAGCATACTTTAATGGCAGTCAAGTCATACCTCAACTTTCTCTTGTTCAGCTAGAAATTCTTCTATGGGAACATAATGGTCTTCAATTTGTTCCATTGCACACATATATGCATGCTTCTTAATAGCCTCTTTATACATTTCAAATTTGCTCTCGAGTTTTTCTTCATAACTATCTTTCATATCTTCCAAGCGGTTGCTGAAGAGAACATGTTGGTTATACATCATATGCTTGCATTCCAGCTATTACATTTGAACACATGTATTCAGCTGAGAATATTAAAGTTATTTCTCTAATCAGAAATAGTGAAATAAAGAGAAGCACTTTTTTCCTTTTAATCTCATTGATCCTATAGACATGCACCAAAGTGTAACTTCTACTTGGCGTATACCATAGAAAGTACTAAAGAAGAAAACACACTTACCACTTGTCAAAAAAAAGTTATAAGAAACTCCACCAACATACAATAATAGAAATAACCACACCTATTTAGATGTTACAATTGAAGCATATATGCTGAGGGCATCTCTCACTTTGGTTTTTGGTTGGTTTTTCTTTTTTCCATTTAAGATAAATGACAAATTCATTTTCATATAATCATAAAATGGCCTGGGTTGGAAGTGACCTAAAGATCATCTAATTCTCACATTCCTATCATGAGGAGGGACACTTTTCACTAGACCTTTCCAACATGGCCTTCAAACACTTCCAGGAATGGGGCATCCACAACTTTTCTAGGCAACCCGTTCCAGTGCCTCATCACACTCACAGTAAAGAATTTTTTTCATGACAATCAACCTAAACCAACTCTTTGAATTAATGGATTCAAACAACAGTTTGAATCTACTCCTTGTCCTGTCATCACATACTCTTGTGAGAAATCCCTCTCCATCTATTATTTCAATACATTCCATATTACTGTCAAAATTTTAAAACACCCCCATCAATGATGCAGAACATCATCTCAACAGAGAAAAAGCATCAATGCTAATTCATGTGTTTAACCAAGGCAACCAAACAATTTTAAAGCTAGCGCCAGGGTTAAACCATAGTGTGCTCAGCTGGCAACTTGGTATTAATTTTTTAAACAATCCAAACAGCAGGAAGGTGATTTAAAGACGAGTTAAGAGGAAGTGAACTTAGCTTGAGGAATAATCTGGGCTTGAAAAAAAATTCCTAAATTAACATCAGTGCAGGGTTCATAATTCATAAGATAATTTATAAGGGCAGAGTAATTCATAAAATATCAAACTAACAGTGGCTCATAAGTCATGCAGAGGAGCTCAAAAGAGCTATGATTCAAACTACCTTAAGCACATTCATGCATATTAACATGACAGAGTATGTTTTGGAAAAATTGGCTCAGTGGGGTACCTGTAATAATCTTCCACCTCTGCTAAGTAGTAATAACAAGCCAAGGCAAGCTCCAGTAATTACAGATTCAACAGAGGAAAGCTGAACAGAAAGCAGCATTACTTTTTCACTGTGAGAAGAGGTTGATCTGAACAAGCTTAATGTTCTTTATTCCCTTTCCTTCAGAGATTTTGAAATTGTGCAGCCCTGTCTTCTCTAAATAACATGAGTAGGTACGTCCTGAATATACACATGTATGTATATACATCCATATGTAGGTATGCTTTTATACATGTGGAAGCTTTTCAGTCTCAAAGAAGACTGCAATGTGACTTGCCTCCAGGCTTCCTCTGTTTCCAGCAGCTGTCGAAACATTGCTTCTGCCATCTCTTTACGTATCTTCACCTCCAGAAGGAGCTTACTTCGCCTTTCTGCAGCTAACTTCTCCTTTAAGTCCTCTGCAGCTTTCAAGAGGTCCTAAATTTAAAATGTTTCATCTCAAAAACCAAGACTGAAACACATGTTGACATGCATCTCAAACAAAATATTCAAACAGGCAGCCATCCAGAGGGTATTTTTTAAAAGCCTCTTTCTTGGGGGTCTGCACCAAAGTTTAAGTATTTTCAAACATTAATTTCTACTGCAAATACATCCTGTGCCCATCTTGATGGTGTCCACTATCAAAAAGTTTACTTCTGTTTTGGCATTAAATATTAGTTTGTACAACATAACATAAAACCTACTTGATTTTTACAGTTTATTGTCATTAGATTGTATAGCTTTGTTTTTAAAATGCTGCATCTTAACTCATTACTGCTGTTTCCAAAAAAAAAAAAGGCACAAAAAACTAAATTATATTATTTTAAAGGTATGTACTGCTTCCTTAATCTTCTTGTTGGGCAATCAGTTGAATTCCAAATTTAGCACTAGTCCTAACTAGAAAGCCACAGGGCATCCTTCCACAGCTACACTGAACTAGGCCACTCTAAGTCTAGTCTGTCTGACACTAAACAGAAACTTCAGCTTCCCATTTGATGCAGCTTTCAGCACATCTCTATGCTAAAACAATATCAGAACTAACAGCAATTGCTTTCTTGGGTGCAGTTCTAAGCAGACATGCATTTACCTCATGACTCAGAATGGTGATGTCCACTTCCTCTTCTGCAGAGATTTCAGTACTGTCAGCAAAGTCACCTACAGATGTGTTAGCATCAAAGTGCATGATAGGTTTGCCATCACCTCCAACCATCTTTGGTGGAAAATAACCAAAATTTTTGGGCAGGATTGTCTGGATAACCTGAAAAATCCAGAGATGATTTACCAATGCTGTCAATATTGCAGGTATCAGAATACCAGGAAGAAGTGGCATGAATGCATTATTGTATTCACACAATATTTAATGATTTCATGAATGTCAACAAAAGCTTATGTGCCTTTTAGCAGAAAAGAATCCATCAATGTAACATAATTCTTACATGAACATAAGACTTAAATACTCTAAAAAGAGTGAAAAGGGAAATGTTATCTGCTAAGAAACTCAGTGTCCTTGTCTAGACAGGTGGTTTCTCTTCCCCTAAAATAGAAGTGTTTTGGTGTAGTTTCCTGCAAAGTTGATGAAAAGCAGAAAATCCCTACAACATTTGCTCCTTTCTGAAATAACATGACCAGGATTCAGCAAGGAATCAGCAAATCATGACAGGATTCAGCAATTCATGCTATTGACATAAAGATTTTAAGTAACTATGTCACAGGACAGCATATCAGAAATTTGTCTCCACAGTACACAGTCTAGTTCTCTGAAGAGAATTACAAAAACCTTCCTCTCTGAGATCATATTAGACATGCTATTACAGATTTGCAATAACATGACAGAAATAATCTGTGGCTCCAGACTATAAATTTATTTCTGCCATGAGACACAGCATAGCCCAGCAGCCCACTCCCTGCAAGAAGCAGATTCAGGGAACTTGAATAAAATTAAGGCCAAACATCAACCCCAAGTCCCGAATTTAATGAGAGATTGAGACAAGGAGCAGAATCCAGGAGCCCCCAGAATCCAGGAGGAAATGATCATTGACCTGCTACAGCACATAGACACACACAGTCTATGGGCTGGATGGGATCCACCCAAAGGTATTGAAGGAGATGGAGGAAAAGCTTGCCAAGACACTTTTATTATTAATTACTTGCATTTAGCCAAATAGGAGCAATGTAGTTGCAAAGATTTCATTTAGACTACAAAAGAAGATGATACTTCTTTTACTACCACCAACTGTCCAAGCAGTTGTGAACTACTCATCTTGTACAGCAGATGTTTAACTGCACCCAGGTTAAGTAACTCATGAAAAATTTGAATTGAAATCCTGCATTTGTTCAGATATATGGTATAAATCAGTCATGCCTAAAAGTTGTTTTGCACAGAGCATCAGCAGTGTAGAACTGAACAGACACCTGCAGTGGTCTAAACTTCTTACTACAAATAAGTCTGAAGATGAGTAAGACTACTAGAAGCCCTACTACTTTTAGAGAGAGGCTACATGCAGAAAAACTAATATGATGAATCAAGAATCCAAATCACACTAAAATCCATACAACCTGATCATTTCACAAATGACTACTAACAAAAAAAAAAAAAAATCAGAACAGCAGAGAAAGTAGATATACTCTTACCTGTCTGGCTATAGCTGAAAATTTCATTACATGCAGTGTTTCATCATATGTGGAAGTATGCTGATTGATGTTTACAATCATACAAGCTTTGCCTTTCCCACAAAAAAACGGCTGAAACAGACGAGTCAGCTTACTCTCTCTGAATGGAATATAGCTTGGCTTCATCCTCAGGGAGGGAAAAACATCAAATTATGAAACAAAAAAATTGTAAAATTCTGACCTACTGTAGCTTACTTTAATTCTGTTTCTCTCTTTCAGGAAAGAGATCCAGTACAATGCTCATATTTAAGCCCAAGTTATTTTATATCAAAGAGCAAGGTCTTTCCTGGATTTCATAGGCCCCCCAACAAACTTAACTATTTAAAAGAAAAAGTAGAATAGTGTCTGTATCACAGTTTCCTAGTGTTCCAAAGCAGACAGTGGAACAAGCCAAAAGCTAAGTACAGGTCATCTATCAGCTGCCTGATGAAGCTACCTGTATAATTTGCAGGTGGAAATGAAGAAGACAAAACTGAAGCTTTGTACACAAAGTGCATTGTTCATATACATACACTAAAGAAATGCTGTTAGTTTGCTGCAAATTGCCTTGTTTTGCTCTCCACAAACACCAGTTATGGAGAAATGGTGCTCTGCAGGTATTAGAGTGACAACTATAATAAAGAAGACTTAAAAGATTTTGTAGCTTTCCAATTTTCTCTGTGCAAAATGCTTGCAGAAATATAAAGGGGCACAATGTCTCCACCTAAAACTTGGCATGTAAATTACTTATCACTTACTTTGGGTTTTGATTTTGTTTCAATGCTGCAATGCACTTTCCAAGGATGTGAAGAGAATTATTAATATTTCCTGCTTCTTTTAGTCTGTCTCCAAAGACATGTGTTTTATTACACCTCTCTGAACCAGCCAAGTCACAGAAAGACAACCTGCATGAAAGAGTTATCCAGAACACACACATTAAGACCCTCCCAGCTCACCATAGAGCTCTTTGCTTGCCTATAGCAATTACTTGCTGCTAAACTCAGGCCACTGAATTGTCCCTCATGGAACAACAGGTTACAATCAGAAAATCATCCTGGCTAATCAAGGGATTCAGTAAATTTTACTTTATATATTAGAAAAGCTGTTGAAATAGAGGAACCCCTGGAAGTTGGATAATTTATGTGACCATACCATTACTCACTTATACATAAATTAGTTAAATAAAATAGTTCGTAAGACCATAAACTTTCATACAGCTAAAGTAAGTCCTATACAAATTATTAAGGCACATATTTCAAATGTATGAAAGCCTTATGTTCTTGATCCTTTCCAGCACAAGATGAAAAGCTTTTTTCTTCATTAAGCAACATACAAACTGTCATTCACCTAACAGCTGCTGCAATTTTTTTCAAGGGGCTACACTATGATAGAGAACAGCAAGAAAAAAATACAGATGCAGTCATTTTCTCAAGTTATCTATTCTTAAGAGTACTTATCACTGTAACATCTGACATTTAAAGGTGTTATCTTATAGTAAGGTATATTTATTACCACCCCTACTCAGCAGAGACAAGAGAAGAAGCAATAGCAGATAGGATTGAACTAAAACACTCTGTTACAGGCTGTCTTAATTTTTCTGTATCAAGCTAAGTTAATCAGAAGAAAAAAAGACACACCATTCCAAAAAAAGCTATCTAAATGCCTTCAGGCCAGAAGATAAGGCTGTTTCCTCTAAACCATAAGAGAGCAGAGACTTAAGTGTAAGGACTTAACACTGCTCTTACAGGGTGCACTTACATTAGCATTTTATATTAATGGAGAACAGTTTTTAAGCAAATCATTTGATGGTCCCCTCTTACTGTACATTGGACCATGGAACACTCTGAGATCAGGTCACTAGAATTCTTTTGGGATGATAGATTTTAATTTACATTCTAGGAGCACACCAAATGTCTTCTCACAAACATTAGACCCATGAGGTCTAGCCTGGTCCCCGAGCAGAAAGGTAGATTGGCATAGCTTGCACCTGGGGCATTCAGCACCAACTGCTGCCCTCGAGCTGCAGAGATCACCCTTTATCAGCCAGACACTTGAATTCTGCTCATCAGGACATACAGCCTGGTGCTGCATAGTCTTACTCTGCCACCACCCTATTACATGAGACAATTACACATTTTCCTCAATTTACACACTACTGACAGAGCTGCTTCAGCAAAATCTTAGAGTAAGAGACGGGAAAACACTTCTGTACTTGTCCCTGTTGAGTTTCCCGTCAGTTTATGTGCTCAGTGGAGTTCTAATTTCATTCTCAACTCTCAGAGGATTTGTTTATTATTAGAAAGTTCAGCAGTTTGGCATGTTTGCACCTTATTAATTTTCCAAAAATATTTACATTCTTGGTAATCACATGAAGCGTTCACTTACTCCGATACTCCAAGAACACGTGGCTGATGCTCATCAGTTAGCTTGAGTAGCCTGATGGAAAATATACTGTGACTGGAATGGAAAGAAATTATTTTTAATAATCAGTTATGAAAATTAAGCAGTCACTGAACCAAAGTAAAATTGTATGCTACAGAAAGCTCAGTGCTGAAGAAAGGACAAGAATTAATTCACTAGTTATCTTGGTATATTAGTTACTTTTGCAATGCATTCATTCAGCAGCAAAAAAAAAATGTGTATTTTATGACTTTCTATTTCTCTTCACACAGGAAAAGGAAAAATACCACATGAAGCCTACAAACTGTCTTGGAGAAAAACACCAAGCCAGTTCACTAAAGTCTACTGAGCAAAAGAAGAGTAGTCATGTACCCACTTCATATAGAAAACCTTTGGCAGTATCTGAACTCAGCAAATCTGAAGGATTAATTTAGAAACAAATGGTGGGGAGAAGGGAATAAGTTCAAGTTTTACAAGTAATTTTGCCTACTTCAATATGCATAGTTACTTGTTCGGTTTTAAAATCATTCTGTTTTCTAGAAAGGTTGAATTTGTAACACTTGAAAATCCAGTAACTCTGGTTTAGACAACAATCTACACAGGCGAGTAGGCAAGTCTGAAACCAAAGAGAAGTCACAAAACCAGAAGTGCCCAGTTTCTCTGATTCATCAGGAAGCACAGCACACAAACTTCTTTAGCAGTGGGCATTCTAGGCATAAAACTCTGTAAGAAGAACATGAAATTTAACAGCAGCTGTCTTTAGCTAATATAGAACAACAACTCTTGCTTTTTAGAGAAAAAAGCAAGATTAGTAACACTATGATTGTATTAGCTAAAAATTAAACATGGCCCTTTCACACTTAAAAGACAAATTATCATTAAAATCAAGAAAGGACACACTTTCAAGAGAAATTATACAACCTTCTTTATTTCCTCTCACTCCATCAAAAGCCAAATTCTCCCTGATCCCTGTCCAGAGCTAGATAAAAAGGTAGGGGTTTAATTCTTAAGCACCAAGTAAGCTCAGCTTGAACACAGCAATCTAAAAGCATCTAGAAAATCTAGCAGCACTGCAAGATACCACATGACTTGCTCCTTCCTATATCCCCCAATGACAGGCTCCAGCTTTCCGAGAATTATACTGCCAGTTATGAAAAGTTAACCAGCTTTTCCTTCAACATCCTCACACAGCCATTGTCACTCAGCACCACTAGCATTTACCAAGATGCATAGCCCTGCTGGCACTCAAAAATGAATGTGATTTGATCTTTTTGATCGTCCAAAGACATGAATAGCAACCCGAGTGCATCTACTACTAGTCACAGAGTCTCTCTGCTAGTTTTCTTTCAGAGAGAATTTCATAAAAAAAAACCCCAGAATAATCAAGGGAAGTATTAAACTATTATTGAAGAGTGGTTCATTCCACACGTATTCTAAAGTGCCCTCCCTTCCCCTCAAAATGGACAGAGCATACTTATAATTAGAGGAACAAACCTTCTACTTGATTGCTCATTCATTCTAGTACAGGCAAAGCTTCGGTTCTTGTTTCCTATTTTTAGCAGTCTGCAGGCTTCTTCAGTGCTCTGAACATTAATCCACTTTAGATCTGCAAAAAGAGATCTTTTACATACATTTCTGATCATCAGAGAAATTGTGTGAAACTGCCCAGGTCATAAAACAGTATTATTACCTTTAATGTAACAATTTCCTCCTTGATCCTCACAAATTCTTAAAACTCTGCGCCTTTGAGATTTTGATGTAGATGAAATACTTAATAGGTCGTACACATACTCATTATAAATTTCACAAAAGGAAATCCACACAGATGCTTGTGTTCTTTGGTGCATATTAGTTTTATGAATGTCAAGTAGAACAAAGTTCTCTGCTAATCCAAAACAAAGGAAGAGTTCAAAGATCAACTCGTTGACAGATTTTAAATCAGTACATAGAATCCTCTAAAAGAACCTACAGAACCTGATAAAAAGAGATGGTTTAGATACATCTGTGTTGCACAATTTGATACACATGGATAACTTTAACTTTCTCCAAAAATGTTCAAATTTCTCACCAGTCATCTGTTTCAAGAATATGCCCAAGTTCTAAGCTGATGGCCTTGCTTTATCACAGACTTCCATCAGTTTATACATTATATTTGCAAAACTAAGTCTCCTCCTTCTCCCCAAAAGGAGTGAAACTATAAAAATATTTTTATATAGTTGCGCTTTCTCCAGAGGAAGGCAAAAATTTGGTAAAAACCTATATATATTTACCTTGCATTATAGTATAGGGATTTTTTTTTATCCACTGGCAGTAACCCACTAATATTTCTTAATTCACATTATGTTTTTCCCACACACAACAGTTTTACACTTTACCTAGGGAGTTAGAAGGGTGATTGTCAGAAGCACAGTTAGAAGGATCCAACTTCACATCACAGAAATTTGCTATAGTATTTGAGCTGCTCTCTGTCTCCTTGAGAAAATAAACTACTATTAGATCCACATGAACAGATAATGAGAAAAGCAGAAGTTAAAAATGACAGCAATTCCAGTACTTAGGACTAAAATATTGAAGTAGTATTAAGTACTAGGCCACCCTTACTCTGGTTGAAAATGAAATGTTTTTAATAACACTGAACTATAATCAATAACTGCTCTTTCCATCACACGAATTATTGCTTGTGGGTACTCCCAGCAACCAGTTTTGGTGGCCAGTTGCTGCTAACACTGGAGACTTAACTTCAGAGTCCCAGGAAAAATAGGATTCTGTCAGACTCCAACAGTCTGCTTTATGAGCTGTTGACCAAATCTGAACAGTGCTTCAGTCATCCAAAAGAATTGGAGAAGTTTCCTCCAGAAGTAATTGCCAAGGTGGTAGTGCTTAAATTATGACAAACCAACACTTTTTATTGCTTTAATTCAGACTGAACTAAAAGGCCATGAAGAACAGACAACAGCATAGTTTCTTTACATACATACATTTACTGGATTTCTTTACACCAACAGAATTGTTTTAAACCTGCCAAAATTCACCAAAGTACAGCCCTTAAGTTACCTCTGGAAAAATTAATGTAACAAAGTAGTAACTCCCACTAGAGTCCAGCACCTTTACATACTACCCCTCTCATTTTATATGCCCCTATAAATCAGGACATTCACCCTAATTTCTCTTTCCTGAGAGAGGGTCATGCTACAGTAGAAGGAAACAGATCCAGAGAAGCAAACCCTAGTATTAGAGCTATTCAAATGCAGCACTAACCTGATCATGGATCGAGTGCTGATGTCAATGTTACCCACTTGGTACATCCAAACCAAAATTCTTACAAACAGAGAGGCATAAAACATAAAACCTTTGAGGTCTTCCATTTTAAAGATAAATAGCATAGAATACAATTACAACAAAATCCTACAAGTGACCGTTTTGCAGAAGCTGCACTGTCTATATGATTGTGTTTCTTGAGCATTAGAAGTCTAACCACAGCAGGGATCCTCTTCGCTGTTTGTGAAGTGCCAAGCAGGATATGGGACTGACACATGGTATCTCATCTAGGCATGTCAAAAATGCAGTGGAATTTAGAAAACCCAGTACCACATTACTTGTGCATGTGATAAATTTTTGTAAAGGTATTGTGAGAAAACTTAGTGAATTAAGTGTTGCTATACTGCTTTTCAAGTGGAATAGAGAAAAGAGCATGAAGATGACTGCCTAAAAACAAGTGGGAACAGGAACAGACATTGTTTGCCAACAACAGAAGCTGACGTTTAACAGTAAAGACAAGAATAGGTGGGAATAGCAATGCACATAAGGCATATTTTAATCCAGTAAAAAAGCCAGTATTTAACCCCATGAAGAGAACTAGGAAAGGGAAGGAAAGAGAGGGTATGAACCATGCTAAGCAAAAGTTGTTGCAGCAGTACTGCATACAGAACATAAACAGTAGGACATTAAAGCACTGCAGTAACTCAGAGCCATCAAAACCGGGAGAATGAACAGCAAGCTCTTTCTGTGAGACATGTAAACTGAGCCTGGGAAATGAGCCTACAGAAATCCATGTCAACCAAAGCCAAGCTCTCCAAGCCATGTCTGCTCTCAGATTACAGCTTGAGAGAGCATCCAAACAGTGATGCTATTCATTCACAATCTATCAAGAAGCACAGCTTCAGAACTGGGGATCGTTGAGCTATCTCTATGGAAGCATTGTAACACACAAACAAGGTCCTGTCATGTAATATCTTCCTGATTCATTTTTACCTGTCCTTCCCGATAGTGGAGTGTTGCTCTTTTCACTGCAGTGCATCAGCATCTAGATCACCTGCTGCAACATTCAGTTACTAAACTACAAGTAAGTCAGGCTGTGATTTAACAGAAGGAAATATTTTTATAATGCTATCTTCAAAATAAGATATTGACCTTTTGTTCCAGACCCTGGGCTCCTGCTTGTTCCTCTTATCAAGACTGTAGCTTTCATGAAATTTTGAAGGTATTTACTTACTAGCCTCCTAACCATCAACATTTCTTTAAGACTCCATCCTCCACTACACACATGCACATATTCAGAGACACTATCAAAACAAATACGCAATCCTTCAAATCTTTCAGATTTTTCATCTGAGATATTTCCTCAAGTGTTAACCAGACTCAGACTAAACAAAGTTTTGACTTCCAGGATTTAAATTAAGCAACAAAATTTAGAGTGGAACTTTAGGATATTTTTTCAGGGTTAACTGGAGTACTTCAACAAGGTTAGTATTAAATACCACAGAAAAAAAGAAAACCCAATCATTATTCCTGTACGTCCCAGAATATTTTAGAGTTGCTTTGAATGACAACCAGCTGAGCCTGCTGCATTCTGGGATTAGATGCACAGAATCACAGTTCAGGGGAAAATATTCTGAGCAAAAGGAATCTGACAGCAAACTGCAGCTGGACTTGGAAGCATAAAATCGTCCCAAATACATGGATGCCCATTTTCTGGCAAGACATAGTAACAGAAATTACTAGAAAATAAGAATAGGAGGGTTGCCACAGTAAAGACTTCTCTACTCTCCCTACAGTCTTCAGAGACCAGTCTTAGTCACATACAGGCAGACAGGAATCCTTTTAGACATTTATTTTGCGGCATCTCCCTTCACTTGCTGAATGAGAAAGCTTCTTTATGAAGTTACATAAATCACAGGTTTATAAACTTTTTCATCTGCCTTAAGACTGTTTTCCACCAAAAGAGACTCTCTTCCCTGCCTTCTTCACTGCCTCTGCTAAGACATCATCTTAAGTGCCATCATCTCTCCTGAGCTAGTACAAGCATTTGAAGGACTGCACCAAGATCCAGCCCGGGAACCTGCAAGAAGAGCCACTTAACAAGAACCAGGTTTTAGTTAGGTCATGTAGCTCTCAGACTTTTCAAAGGCTACTGTCACCACTGCTCCTCTAAAGAGAAGACTTCTCTCTAGAAACTGAGATTTGACTTTCTGATGGTTTTTGGTTTGAACTGTGTGCTGCAGAAAGTTCTTCCAGTTTACCCTGAGCTCCAAAAGCTGCCAATCATGTTATTATTCCAAGGTTCACCAAGTATGCATACTCTAGTTTTTTAGATAGATAAAGAACCAATAGTGGAATAAAGACTTTTCAAACCTCCTGTCTTACAGAACAGTTTTAAGAAGCATTTGGTCACTGACCTCTTTCAGTGATGCAAGAATAGCAGTTTTTAAGGCTTCTTCTTGCTTAATTTGTTCATCTTCTAGTTTCTTAACATCATTGCTCAAATATGGTTTGAAGTTCATCTTCAGGTAATGTCTTCCTCTTATGTGCTTAAAAATCACATCAAGTGAGCGAGGTAAAATACCAAGGTCTTTTGAGGTCCCTTAATATTAAAAATTAAGTGTAAACATTCATGTAAGCTTGTCACTGGATTTGACTTAGGTTTTACACATGCAAATATTTTTTACCTTGGATAGTGAATGTCTTGCCTGCATTTGTAACTCCGTAAGCAAATACCAGTCCATTCACTCCATTAACATATGCTTTTATGATATCTTTCATTGAGCCTTCAAAAAATTCACTCTGAGTAGTTTCTGGTCCAAAGACCTAGAATAAGGGAAAGAAATGAAGAAAAAAGAAGTGACAAATGGCACAAAGAAGCTTAATAAGCCAAAATATTAAGTTCTGATTAGACATGACTGATTTTTCAGAACAAGCTGGGTAGGAGACACTAGCCTAATTTCCTGTCTTGCCTGAATCCTTTCTGATTCAATGTTTTCTGCTGGGTTCTCACAGGATGCCTGCTTAATTCTGAGTGGCACTCAGGCTTGCAATCATTTTTTAATATTTTCCTACTCCTAAAATAAACTGCTCAGAATTCAACTTAGCACATGCTCATTGTCCATGTTCAATGGACACTTTCAAGAGCTCTGCCAGTGATGTAAAACTCCCTCCTCACTCTTCACCAGTTACCCACAACTGATGAGAAAAATCAGCATTACAATGGTCTAAATAACTCAATCTCTGAAACTGTTTATTTATTGGTCCTGTAAGAACAAAACTTCTTGCAGTTAGGCAAAGCTAAGAAATTTGCTTTCAGTAAGAAGGCTTAAGCAGTTAAGCTGCTATTCTTTCAAAAGGAAGCTACTAAATACACACTTATACAAATTCATACAAACATAAGGTTTCTGAGATAAAAGCATCTGCAGGAACAGCAGAACCACAGTAAGTTTGTGCCTACAAGATGTTTCTGTAGCATCTAATCAAAGAAAACCACAGACCTGCCAAAGAAGCTTCCTTGTCTCATTTAATAGGCACCTCCATTGTAATACAGCTTATCAATAATTAATAAGCAGTTTTTAAGAAAAGGGCAAGTGCCATCACATGTAATTAAAACAAGAAAAATCATGTTGCATGACATAATACAAAATTCAGCTTTCATTATAGTGAAAAAAACAAAACCAAAAATTTGAAATAATTTGGCCTACCTGAGAAAAGGTGAAGCTGTGCACAGCATGACCAATCCCTCTTTCACTGTTTTTCATTGCGGAAGACTCTTTGGGTGCACTAAGAATTACTGTCTGGGCATCTTCAATAGTTACACAACCCTTAAAAAACAAGACAAGGTAAACCAAAACACAACACAAAATTATTCAGGAAGAAAGCTATCTGAACAAAACAAAAAATGAACAGCCCCTCCAACAACCCCCAAAAAGCCTAGTGTCTCCACCCATTTACCAGAGCTACAAAAAGTCCCACAATTTACCTATATCATCTCAAGCCATGTCACTACAGAGATACTCACTTCACATGAAAGTCAAAATACAAAGTCAAGGCAATCCTTTAGGGTTTTCTAAGAGGTAAAATTTTTTACTAGCATTCCTTCCAGCAACTCTTCCTTAGGAACACTTTCTAAACCCTTGTACTTTGTGACTGTGATTTGCACAATCACTAAAAAATAAAATTACATGGAAATCTACTGGTTTTCCACATCAGTCATTTTTAGTGTGAAACAGACTAAGAGCAGAATTATCAAAGTAAAGTAAGTCTGAAGCATTATCCTTTGATTGATAAATACTGCTACCAGTAATGAAAGAAACTGAATTAGTTTCAAGTAATTTGATTGCTATTCTCAATGAAGTAAAGGTGAAATACAATTACCAATTACTAGCTAAATAAATGTAGGATACAGTGTCAAAGAAAAATGTATTTTACACCAGACTGGTTACCAAAGATGCAAAGGGAACTCCCAGTGTAGCTTAACAATGCCTTGATGCATCATCTGAAAGGACTGATTGTAACTTAATCTGACATTTATGTTCAGAGACTGGCCAGAACTTCTAAGATCAATAATCCATGTGTGGTATGTACATAGGAGTACTGTTGGTCCTAGGAGCCTCAATTAACAAGTCTTATTATTAACTGATATAGAAGCTCTGTGACAGTAATTAACTGGTACAGACCTCATAGCAGCCTACAACTTGCTCACAAAGAAACAAAAATGGGCAGACACTTCTCTCTGGTGATCAGTAACAAGACATGAAAGAATGGCTTGAAGTTGTGTCAGGGGAGGTTTAGTTTGGAAATTAGAAAAAGGTTCTTCACCCAGAGTGTGTTTGGCACTGGAACAGGCTCCCCAGGGAAGTGGCCACAGCCTCAAACCTGACAGAGTTCAAGAAGCATTTGTACAACACTCTCAGGCACCTTGTGTGACTCTTGGGGCTGTCCTGTGCAGGGCCAGAAGCTGGAATTTGATGATCCTTGCAGGTCCCTTCCAGATCAGTTTATTCTATGATTCTGAGAAGCTCTAAGAAACTGCTTTCTGAATTTAGACCAGTCACCTGCTCACTGTGCCAGGCTCTGAACCTATATAGTCTTTAACATTTCTCCCACATCAGCAGGGACAGGAGTGCTGGTCAGATGTACTAACCCTGGAGAGCTACAGAATAATCCAAGATCTGCACCTGTGCCATCAGCTGCCACCAGCCTCACAGAAACCTGCGAGCAGAGGCACAGAGTAGCCAGATCCGCAGAGATAGAAGCCAGCTGGTCACAATTCACTCCACTGGTCTCCCTCAGCTAACCCTGCAGGTAAGTTGGCAGGAGCTGGACCATTTCTGGCGCTGAACACATCATTTATAATCCTACTTTCCCACAGGTGACTCTGGAGAATTGCTGACAGGGAGTACAGAATTTCACCCAGAGCTCTTACGCTTTACTTCTATAAATCATTATCTCTTTAAGCATCAACTGACCAGTTAACCTGCTGATTGTCTTTGTTTAAAGCATCAGCCTATAACTACAAGAAATAAGTCTTGGATCCTACTTTCTTTTTTTTTTTTTTTTTTTTTTTTGTGTGTGTGCCACATATTTGGAACAAAGGTGCTTTCTGGAAAATTATGCATGGCAAGGAGGAATAAAGGACATAAAAACTAAATTGATCTGTTTGATTTAATGATCAGGAAGTGAGGCTTACTTGACTCTTTTGTGTGGGTTTCTTCCATTTGATACCAAGCATTTTCTTCTTGGATTGAGGTTATAATGAAGAAAGTAGAAAACGCTGAAAATGTTGAAGATCTTCCAATTATTATGTTTTTGAAGGCTGAGAAAAAAGCCTTAATCCCACGCAAAACAGATTATACAGATAATAGATTGGAAGTTCAACTATTTCAGCCTGAACTACACAAAACAAAAAAAAAACTGTACAAACTTCAATGTTCATTTTTTCTTCCCTGCTTTTAAGAAATGTCTCAATCCAAAGAGGAATGTACTAAACAACTCCTGAAACAATTTGATTTTGTAAATCAATTTACAATTGAAGCCAGCTCAGACTGTGGAATTTACCAAACTGGAAGCACTGTAGAAGTACACACTATTCAAGGAGAGCTAAGAAAAGGCAAAGGAAAGCTGGGGGCAAGAGGGGGACGAATTATCCAAGTGAAAGCAATACAAAGGTTCCAACTCTGGTAGATCAAAAGCAAGAATGCATTAAAAAAAAAACAAATTGCAAGAAGCAAATAAGAACTAACATTAAACCCTTCTTAAGAGCTCTTCAAGCTGACCTCTCCTCAGACAGCCTGCAAAGACAAGGGCTAAGAGATATGATATAGAGACCTTTGTCCTCCAAAGACAGCTAAAGGAATTCTTTGCATCAGTGATAACAATGAGGGAAAGAGGAGCACTTCTAAATGTTTGTACATGTGTATGTATGAAACACTGAAGCATTTGAATCTGACAGTGTAGGTTACAGAAGATTTTTGACAGGATGAGAAAAAAAAGTCATCAGGATGAGGTAGGAGATTATTCAAGCATTTAAAAGAAGCTTAATAGTCAGATAGTCAAATTACAACTAGAACTGCATAATCTCTTCCATGGAACTCCTTTGTATCTTCAGCACTACAGAGAGTTGAGACCAATTTTTAAATAACATACCCAGTGAAACTGTGAAGAGCTACAGGTGTACATGTCTATACCATAGAAATTATTAGAAGTCTTGAGGGTGGAAAAAAAAAAAATCTTGCATCTATCCAGATGCCAAATAATTCCATATTCCATTCCAAGGGCAGTACATAGCTTATATAAAAGAAAGTTTGGCCTTACAATACTATGTGTTGTTCAGGGGAGGAAAAAAAAGGCATTATTTCTTAGTTCTACAACAAACCTGGGATTCATGGCTTTCAAGCTCTGCTATAGAAAAGGGTCTCACTCTCAAGAAGACTTTCAAAGGCTCATACACCTATTCATTAAAAAGAAGAAAGATACAAAACACAGTTATAATTGCCACTTTATAAACAGAACAGCCCCGAATCATATCAGCATATGTATCTGATAGTGTTTCCTATTTTATATTAATGTCTTATGTTTTCTTTCGTGTCAATTTCAGACTCAAAGCTTTTATTTGCTTCTTTCCCTTCTACAGTCCTTAAGTAACCCATTTTTCCTGTGCCCCACCCCCCACCCAACTATTCCCCTCCTTTTAGCATTCTTCCACGACAAAACCAGCATTGTGATTTTAAAAGAGCACAGTATCAGGGGCACAAATTGCAGTGCTTCCACCTTCTGGTCTCCAGCTGTACTGAATTCAAGCTGTGTTATTTTAACAGCTGCTACACAGTATTGCACTTTCATTCTGTATGCAGCATGTTCAATTAGCACTGACTGACACATTCTTAGCCTCAAGAGACCACTTCCTTACCACCATCCAGGCACCGCACCCTCATCTTCCTCACAGTAACAAGCAGGCAACCAGTCTCAGTTGCTCAGGTGGCCTTTTCCATCCCCCAACCATTATACAACAGTCTCTCCTCCCAAGTAAAGCAATTATAGCAAGAAGCATTTTAGAGGGATCCCAGCACTCCTTCCTTTCTCAAGGAGCTTTGGTCTTTACTGTGGCAACGTTTCATTCAGCAGATGGATTTACTCGAGTTCCCCACAGCCATGCCATAACCAGCACTAATCACACAAAGTGAACTCATCCGAGGAAAAATCACGTAGGAAACGGATCCCTCTAAAAATGCAGAGCTGGGTATATCATCTTCTGCTCAAGCACAGCAGAGCATTATAGATTTTTATTTCCAAGCACCTAATGAGTTTTCACATCAAAGATCTGTGTATTTTTTAAAGCTTATTAAAAAGAATAGTACAGTCTCATTACATTCAAACTGCAATTACTGAAGCCCTTTACTTTTTTTTTTTTTTTTTCCACAAGGTTTAGCGCATCATATCGCATAGCACTGACCATGGATCCGCATTTGGTGCGGGCTATGACCCGTGTGTAAACAATGAGAAATAAGCAGAAGAATCAAACACATCCGGGGCAGAGAAGTACAGCAGTTCTCACCAAAGAAACATTTATTAAAGCTTTAAAAAAAAAACCATCAAGAAACAGCCCAGTGTCACCAGAATACACCTTGTAAAACCAATCCACACCTGCTGCTCCTCTGTATTAGGCAGTACTGTTGATTCCAAGGGTGAAGGTTTACCCTCTACACTCAGAAAAGAAGCCGATTCCAACACATCACACGCTTCCGTGGAAACATAGTTCTTCCCCTCATCAGCCATCGTTCTCTGCAAAGGAACTTGTAAAGAAAGGGATAAAAAAAAAGCCCATCATTATCTGAGAGAACGAACAAAAACACATACGGAGCATAACAGAGATGGGGCCAACTCATATATAAACGAGCACTTCCGAAGAAGACAGGGCAATCTAGAGAAGTTTGGGGAGTATGACCTTTAAAAAAAAAACAACAAAAAAAACCCCACACAAACACCCGGCAGGTTATACTACGTAACACACAAGGGAAAGCGCGCTACCAGCCTCAGCTGGGCACTGCTCTCATCCACCTGCAGCCCCCCCCGGGCCGGGAGCCGGCCCCGCTCCCATTCCCGCTCCCATTCCCGCTCCCGGCAGCGCCGCTACCTTGGCGCGCGCGGGAAGCCGCGAGCCGGGCCCGCGCTGGCCTGGGGGGCGTTTTGGGAGGAGAGGCGGGCGCTGATTGGCCGAGCGCGGGGGAAGGCGGGCGCTGATTGGCCGAGCGCGGGGGAGCGGGGAGGGGGGGATGAAGGCGCGGGCAGAGCTGCCTCCGCCCGGCAGGGGGCGCCGCCGCACAGCGCGCGGGAGGGAAGGAGGGGATGGGGGGAGCGGGATGGAGCGGGGCGGGATGGAGCGGAGCAGCACGGCGTGGTTTGCTGATCGTCCCCAGTGAGGCACGGCGGCAAAGAACAGCTTTGAACCGACAGCCGGGCGGCCAGAGGAGGAGGGGTGTTCTGCCTGGCAGAGGGGGAGGAGGAAGATGGGCGGGGGAGACGCGGGTACCTAAATTTTTCCATCCGAGCGGGTTATATAAAGTTAGCGTGGGTGTTACACAACCGTCCCGGCGCTGCCGCGGTGTAGAAGTAGAAAACGACGCAGGAAATAAATAAAATCGCGAAACGGGTCACGCGAAAGCCAGGAGTGTGCAGGTCAGGGAAGGCGGGATGAGCCTGGAGAACTCCGCGATCCAGCGCCTTCCACAAGCTGAGGACCGACCCCGCCGGTAACAAATGTACAGCACTCCGGTGCGAGCCGGCCTGTTCGCAGCAGGCAGGCAGCAGTATTTCTGCACAGTGCGGGACCCACACACAAAGATCAAGTTGCATCTGTGTTTATGGGTAAGTTGGAGATAAGTGAAGAGATGACAAAGGAAATTGGTCCTTGAAGTGCCACAGCTGAAAGACCCGTGTGACTTCAGGTCATTTAGGTGTGTGTTTAAGAGGCACCCGGCAAGTCAGAGGTACAGCCGGGTGCAAGCAAAACCGTTCCGGCTTTGACCTACAGGGAAAACCTAAGGCAGAAATAGTGTCAAACCCAGCCAGCCCTGCCTAGATCCCTCCAGTCACAGGGCTACTTTGTAATGAGACTACCTGAGTAGTCTGTAACTCATGTCAACGGATCTCCACATGCTATTTGTTTGCCCATTTACTCCTGTAAAGAGCAATCCATAATTTTAAAACTACAGCTAGAAGTTATTTGTCAGGCAGCTTTTATTTGTGGCATATTACCAGAAACAGACTTTAAGGAAGACATAGGTGTTTTGTGTTGCAGGGTATTTCCCCCTCCCTTCACGTAATTGTCAAGCCTATTTCCTTGAGAAACAATCTGTTCTCATTAACTCACTCACCTCCCTTCTACCCAAGCTCTCAAGCCTAAGTGGAGGGTGAGAATCCTAAGGCCTTAAAGAAATTGAAAGCCTCTTGTATCTCTTGAGTAAGAAAGCTCAAGCTTTGGTCAATTTTAGGTCTTAGCAAACATAAACGACCTGAAGCAGAGGTTCTCTTGCAGAGAACCACCACTGCTTATTTTAATTAGAATTCAAGTTCTCTCCCATGCTTGAAGCAGTTGGAGCAACCTGATCCTTAATGGATTTAAACAAAAGTGTTTTCTAGAACTCTGGGCTTTGTTTTGTTGTTTTAAGATTAATCACAGTTCCTTTGAGAGACTTAAAAGCAGCAATAAAAATGGCTGCTTCGTTGCTTTACATATGAAGCTTGCTCTTAGCATTAATATCTATGGAAATCTAAACCTGACAAGACAACTAGGTAGTTCCATAGTTCAGCTTTATGACTCTACATGCATATCGAAAGAATAAAATTGTTCAATTCATTGTGTTCATCACAAATTATGAAGTTTTTAAACTAGCACCCCCAGGATCCTTTGATTGTGACACACATGGGGAAAAAAATCCAAATAAGCTAGGCATTACATCAGTCTTGCACAGCAAGAACCAAGAATTGAAAACTTGGTAATTTTACCGAAAAATCAATTTTAATGCAGGTACTGTATATAATGTCTGTGTATAAACTAACATTTTGGCCAAAATCAAACCCTTAAATTATTAAAAATATATTTTTCATGAAGTGCTGCACAATCATATAGTTGCCATCCTCCAATGAAACCAGGAGCCCAAGTTAAATTTTCCTGCTATTTACAGCTGGCATATTCTTCCTTAAATATACAGTCCTCTCACACAGCATTCTGCTTGTGGTTTCTGTTGTCCTTCTTCAAAAAAAACAGCACAGAACTATCTCTTGGCACACATAAGAAAAGAAACAAATGATGAAAATTTGTAAATCAACTTTATTCAATGATGAGTATCATTTAGGCATCGGCAATAGTAACTTCAACTTCTACGCCTGGTTCGATGCTGATGGAAGTGATCTGCTTCACGATCTCAGAAGGGCTGTGCAGGTCAATGAGCCGCTTATGGATACGCATTTGGAAGCGATCCCAGGTCTTGGAACCCTCACCACAAGGCGTCTTCCTGGTAGTGATGCGCAGGGTCTGCAAAGTCAAACATGGGGTATTTAGTTGATGCACCGAGAGGAGTAATCTACAATCATATGAAAAGATGATCACCTACAAATACTGTATAGTATCTATGCCATTAGAAAGTTACCTACTAAGCTTGGTCTGCTGATGTTAACACTCCTTCCCTACGTATTTATTTTCATTTAAAAGATGAGTTCATTATTAAAATAAAGTGAACAGAAAAGCCCCTTCCACAGTCAACATATTTTGCATTAAACAGTTACCCCAGGTAGCTGTCAAAGCAACTTGTGAAATAATCTTTTTACACTGGGTCACCCTCAGTTTAGTAGCACTATTTTTCACCTCACCTTTTGTTCTTTAAAAAATATGTTTTTAAGCACACAGTTGCAGAAAGAAAACCAATTTTTAAGACAGGAGAACAGTGTCAAGTACCTTGGTGGGCATGCGAACAGGTCCCTTCACCTTCAGGTTTTTTTCCTTAGCACCTCTGATCAAGTCAGCACAGACTGAAAAAAGACATGCAATGGCTCAAGTTTGCGACTATTTTGATTTTTTTTTAAGCACGTATTTTAAACAAGATGTTGGCTCAGAATAGCGTATGAGTGATCACTGCCATTCATTTAAAGCATTATCCTCACAGCCAACCACATAAAACTGGAAGTGTTGTGACATCATGAGCAAAGCCACGATGCAACAATAAGCAATAGGCATTACTACAAGCTTAAACCGTATTTAAGCTGTTATCAGCCTGAAGATCCTGCAAATAGTAACTTTGTTTACATTTTTCTTATATGATTAAACACTGGCAAAGCAAGTTCGTAAATAAGGTTAAATTTTTTTTTATAAGAATGTTACACTAAACTCTTCGTAACACAAATGACAAAATATCGAGAAACCAGTGCCTTTCAGTTCTTATACATTCAAAGCATGGTAACTATTTCAAAATTCTCCATAAGAACTAAAGGGAAGAAGCTGCACTCTTTTACATTAGTCATTATGACATAAGTTTTCCACGTAATGAAAACCCCCCAAACAGTAACTTTCATTAAAAATTAAATCAGAATTTACTTTCTGGTGTGTGAAGCACTTTGACTTGGCTTTGCGAGCCGAGGCACGTACAAAAAGGCAAACAGTAACATCTTTAATTACAACTGGTTTCAGTACATTGTATTTTGCAATGCCTTACATGGCACCTATTATTCATTACTTGACAAGCTACCCAAGTAAGCAGAGAAGTACTACTCACCCTTCTCCAGTGATTTTACATTGCGACTTGTCAAAGTAATTCTAATGCGATGAATCGCCACCTCTTGTTCCACAGGTGCTTTGCCAGTATCTTTAAACGCCTAAAATGTTGAAGTTACAAGTATAAGACACTACAGTGAACACCAACTAACACTACCCACTGCCTCTTAGAAACAGATTTCTGAAGTGTAAAGAACAATTTAGCTATGGAACTACGTAACACTATTGACTAGAAGAGCTGTCTGAAGGGCATGGCAGCATGGTATAAATAATGGGAAGAGAATGAAAGGGCTAAGTCCTAACTCCAAGGAAAAGCAATTTTTTTGTGTCCAACTACATCTCAGGGTGGGAAGCTCCACACCCTTCCATGGGTTGCCTATATACAGCTGGCACAAACATTCCTCTTTCTCAAAAACAATATGTATGTCATTCTTCATGTATCTTACAACTTAACCTCATCACAAATGAAGTAGCAAAGACTTGATTAACAAACCTCCAATAACTCACTCCACTAGAACAAAAAAGGGCACCTGGCCAGAAAGACTATTTGGCCACTCAAAAAACTGATTTGAGGAGCTTAAGCAATTAAACACAAATAATGAGGCATTAATGTGACTTAAGTGAGTTGATGAAATCGAGTAAAAATACAGACAAAAGAAGGTCTAAAGAGAGTTGAAATATATGCCTCTATAAAAATATAAAATAAAATATGAAAATAGAGGGAGGTTGCCCAGAGGATGGAACCAGGCTCTTCTCGGTGGTGTCAAGCAGTAACACAGGAGACAATGGGCAGAAAGTAATGCACAGAAGTTCCACTTGAACATGAAGAACTTCTTTATTGTGCGGGCGACTGAGCACGGGAACAGACTGCCCAGAGACTGTGTGCGGCGTATCCCTCACTGGAGATATTCAAGAGCCATCCGGACTCAATTCCGTGCCATGTGCTCTAGGGTGACTGTGGTCCCTTCCAACTTGGCCTATTCTGTGACTGTGCGGAACACGGGGTGTCACACTGACGATGAGGCGCTACCTGCCCCATTAGCTGACCACGTTCCCCAACAGGGCCGCCTGTGAGGGCAGACACGAGGCCGGATCAGCGCCGCTCCCGCCGGGCTGCGGCCGCCTCCGCTCCGCCTGCGCTGCCCCGAAGGGATCGGCACTGCCGGGCCCACAGGCCGCCCCCTGCCCGCCGGCTCGGGGGGAGCTCCGGGAGCTGCCCCGAGAGCCGCAGACCCACGGCCGGGAAGCGCAGCGCTGCCCCGGGGCCGAGGGCCTGCACGGCCCGGCCGGCGCGGCGGCCCCGCTCCCTCCCCGTCCCCGGCGCTCCCCGCTCACCATGGCGGCGGCGGGGCCTTCCTG